AAACACACTCCAACTTTCATCTATTCTCTCTCCAACTTTGTCTTCCCATACATCCCAAAAGACATCTTCTCATCTCTTTACTCAAATTTTATTAATTTTATATTTCAATACACCCTATTATTTCAACCAAAAACACTCTTTTTCTTCTTTTTATTCAATTTTTAATAATTTTATTTTTAAAGACACTTACAAAATATAACTAATGCGAATGCTGGTAGGGAGGGACAGCTTTTGTTTCTTATAAGAAAATACAATAATTATTTTGCATGTTATAGACAATCCAAAATGCAAATCCCTCCGTATCGCCTTAGTTTATTCTAATCAGTGTCAACTTAGTGTAATAATTTGAAGGATAAAGAAACAACTTTAACCGTGATTGGTCGTTTATAATTATGTGTCAAGAATTATTACATATTGATCTCGTTTGTAATCAATCTGGAAAATTAGATTTGTTTAGGATGCTGAACGTGTGGATATGTAAATTGGGGAATATGAGGGGCAAATTTGGGAATGGTCAAAGCGTGAAGAAAGATGTCAGTCATATGAGCTGCATTTTTTCGAGTAAATAAAGTTGGTTCCAATAATTTTGTCTTTTCAAAAAGAGTATATAAATACAGTACATCACAAAAAAAAAAGTTGTTCGTCAATCTCGAACACTGTGTTTACAATCCCATCCGTTGGATTTTATTTTTCCTCACCTCAAATTTAGTGACAACAATACATAACAGAAGTAGCTATTAATGTTTTCTTTTATCACTGTTCAATCTTTTCAAAAACAGTCTATGGAGTAATAAACTATAGTCCTCCACAAAGGGGGCTTGAGAGAGTAAAATTTAGAAAAAAAAAAAAAAACGAGGAAGTGTAGCTAGTCTAACCGATACTAGGATAGCTTTTACTTGTTAGGAAACACTATGAAACCTTCTTAAAAAAAACATTTGAGAAAGATTTTCGCTAGTTTAAGAATGTCTTCCTAAACACCTTCCTAAAACACATTCCTAAATAAGTAGGAAATCTTAAAAAAAAAAAGTTTATGAAAGATTTTCATTTATTTAGGAAAGACTTTCTAAATACCTTCCTAAACAAATAAGAAACCTTTTTAAAAAAAAGTTTATGAAATATTTTTACGTGTTTAGGAAGACCTTCCCAAACACCTTCCTAAACAAGTAGGAAACCTTCTTAAAAATAAGTTTATGAAAAAATTTCACATGTTTAGGAAAGTCTTCCTAAACAACTTCCTAAACAAGTAATAAAACCTTCCTAAAAAAAGTTTATGAATGATTTTCTCTTGTTTAGAAAGACCCTTCTAAAAAATAAGTTTAGGAAGGATTTTCACTTGTATTGGATGGCCTTCCTAAATGATTATGTTAAATTGGTAAAGTTTTAGTTGAAAACCAATTGGGAATTATTATACAAATTCGATAGACTTAGTTAAATAAAATTTAATTAATGTGAAAATTATTATATAAAATCTGAGATTTGTTTGTCTATGTTCGAGTTTGCAATTATTTTATATAGAGATTTGCTTCACCAAATGACAGACAAAATATTTGAATCAAACCAAAGCAAATCAATATTCATCAATCATAATTTAAACCGAATTATATAGTGTTTGAATTGGTATAACAATTTCTGTACTAATTATCCCAACCAAATTCAAATTATACAAAAATTGAAATGAACTAACCGAACTAACCAAAAATTACTAAAGATATTGCTAGACCCGCGAGTGGTAATCTCTTGATCAAAAACCCATTATAAATTTTAGTTACTCACACATATTTTTATAGCAAAAAAGTAA